CTGTGCTCGTGCAGCATGAAGGAGCCAAGGCAGTCCCGTTTCCCTTTCCAGGCAGTTTAGTTAGGACTCAGGCAGTGACTTCCACAGTGACACACAGCTAGTGACAAAGTAACTGGTACTAGAACAAGTTTGTTTAAAAAAGCAAACTAGTTCGAATCCACCAGATGCTCTGCCGGAAAAGGAGGGACAATTTCCTCCTGTACCAGTCAGATCTGATTTGACGGTACATGCACAAAAAAATAATAAAAATAAAAATAAAAAAAAGCAAACTAGTTACTGGTCACTTCTGATTTAAAATAATTAAGCTGCCGACCCCACACGGTGTGGATGTGCTAAGAAGTTGCCTCGTCCTCCCATCTTGGTGCCATTTCTTACCTGGAGAAGGAGAGGTCACGGGGACAGAGCCTCCTGTCAGGGTGACCTTCTGCTCTAGTAGGCTGCATAGCCATCTCAGCGCTGACACAAGGAGGTCCAGCTTTTCTTCTCCCTACCCCCCCCCCTTTTTTTTTAATTGTTTTGAAGAACAGCAGTTTATCTTCTGAGTTCTGAAGATAGACAGTCCAGATCAGAGTCTGAGACATGTTGATTTTTTCCCTGATTGTGAGCCCTGGTGTTCCTGGATTCCCTTGTAATCCTCACCTGCATCTTTTCTATCATCCATGTGCACTTCTGTGTCTGATCTGCTTTTTTTAAAAAAAAGCTCAATAGTAATTTTCAGACCCATCCTCTTTGCTTATGATCTAAATAACAGCAAAGAAAAAGCCTACTTCTAAACAGCATTCTCTCCACACCTACTAGGGTTAGGATGCACACACATATTTTAGGAAGAGGCAGTTTACTTTTTATTTTTACCCTTTACTTAACTTTTATTTAATTAAGTGAAAGTTTACAGAGCAGACTAGTGTTCCTTTCAACCATTCACACACACCTTCTGATGCTAGTTATAATGCCCACGACATAACTGCACTCTTCCGGCTTCTTCCCTGTGATTCTCATTTCCAGTAATCTTTCTGTCCTACCTCTTCCTGCCTTTTGCACTTTCTCCCCGGGCAGATCCTGTCCTTTCTATCTTGGATAATTGGTTGTTCTGAGGAGTGCATGAGTCCTTGGTGGTAGTCATCTAATTAAGGCCTGCCTATCGTTTGGCTGTAAGTTGAGCCACAGGGGTGAGTACTGTTTGAATGTGACTCAGAGCCATAGTCTCGAGGTTTCCACCAGCTAGAGTGTAGTTGTTGAGATCATCAGAAATAGACTTCTTAAGTTTTCTGTTGTGTTACCATTGCTGCCAGTGTGAAGTCACAGTTCAAATCCATCTGTTGCTCCGTGGGAGAGAGATAGACAGTCTCCTTTTGTGTGATTCAGTGCCTCTGAAAACCCGCTGGAGGGTCAGCTGTGAGTCAGTTCTGACTCGACAGTAGGTAACATCAACATTTTAAGACAAGTATGCTTTATTGAGCTCCCTCCCAGTCCATTTCCACCTTCTCGTATTTTCCTTCCCATTGCTTGCTGCACACTAACTGGAAACGGGAGTCTGTGCTTTCTGTCACTCAGGCGTCACTGAGCCCACTGCTTTCCTGGTGGAGGCACCGGAGGATTTGTTCTCACATTTTACTGTCACCAGAACAATGTGGTGAGCGTTCCTGGGGGCGCTTTCCGGGGCTGGTTTCTGAGGAATGAGAATTAGCAATGCAGCAGCTGAACCTCTAAAGACAGTGTCAGCATTCGAAATCCAGGCGCGGAGCAGCCCCCAGGGCTGGCTTCCAGCTTTGCTGCGTCCTAGATGACTGATGTGTGGAAAGCCGTTTTCTGTGTGGAGCTTGGCACATTTTGGCTGCATTCCAGGTCCCTGCCCCAGCAACGCGACCTCCCTCCAGGGCTTTGAGGTGTCACAGCGGTGCCCCCTGCTTTGAGCAATCAGCAGAGCAGGGTGAAGAAATAAGGCATGAGCTGGGCTTTGCACAATGCTTGTCAGTCCCAGAAACCCCCGAGCCTTCCCTCAGCCACAGCAGCCGGCATCTGTGGGAGGCGTGCTCAGAGCTGGGTCCCCTCCCCGCGGCTCTGTGTCCCTCAAATCCACCAGCAGGACGGCCTTTGCTCATGTCGTGCTTTCTAGACAAGTATCTGAGCCATTCCACTCACTTTGTGCGTGTCCATGACTGAGGAGTTATATTTGAGTGTTCCACTATAAATCACATACAGAACACGGATGCAGAGGGGTCCTGGGGGTGCAGTGGTTAACGCTTCCTGGTTTGGACTCCCCTGGGGGCTCAGCAGGGGAATGGCCTGGTGATCTACTCCCGTAAAGACTTCGGGGCAGTCCCAGGCTGTCGTTTGATTAAGAAGTCGCCTGACAGCACCCCATGACACTGGTGCACTTGTGAAGGGCGGTTTTGGGTGAGGAGGTGACCTGCCCTGCTGGAGGATTAGCTAACTGCAGTGTGGGCCATGCGCTCAGCAGGGCACCATGGGCTGTGACAACTGTCCACACCAGGACTGTGCCCACCATCGCTGTGCCTTTGTGGGCCGGACGACATGTGAGCAGCAGGGGATGACCAGTCCGCAGCACTTCCCAAAGGTGGGGAAATCACTGCCCGTTTGTGGTAAAATGGTCTGAAAGGATGCAAAACCAGCAAATGACACTGAGTCCTGGGGACGCCTGGAGGGAGATGCAGTAGCACTAAGATGTAGGGCTCTTTAACTATAAGAACGTTTTATTTCCTGAAAGCTGAGTTTTGAAAGTATAAACAGAGAAAGAAAGCAGCTTGTATTTTCCAGCTCTGTGGTGTCTCTAGGGTCCCCGGGAGCCTGAATCAGCTCCAGGCAGTGGGTTGTTCAAGTGGAACAGACTATGGTCCACATCCCTCTCCTGCCATGCATTGGCAATTGGGTTTTTCTGCGTCACATGTGACACTTTGACAGCGGACACCCTGGCCCTTTGTCTGAACCTGGGCAGCATCATGCTTTCTCTCGGACCCTGGCCTTTGAGAAATATAAGTATTAATTGCCGGTCCTTTCTACGCCCCAGCTGAGGCTCACAGGCCCAGGGCGATGGGGGTGTACACATCAGTGAGAATGTGATCCCTCACTCATTCCGTCTGCCTGCTTGCATCGTCGCTCTGGGAAACGAGGCTATTGTTCTGGGAAGGCAGGGGGAGGCTGGGCTCCCGACCGGATTCTGGTATCTTCAGTGCACATGCAGATCCGGGATTTGAAACGTCCTGTTCCCTAAGCCTTGTTATCCTAGCGGCCAGTGCTTTCACCAGCTCAGCACGTCCAGTCGGCTGCTCCCACCTCACCTGACCTGACCCGACCTGCAAGCTCAGGGGTCCAGGAAGGAAGCCCCCCTCCCCTGAGAGTCACAAAGGAGAAGGCAGGGAGAAGGGATGGTGGTGTTGGGGGTGCAGATGTTCTTTTGAATCTGACATTGAGCGGGGCCTGGCTGGCCAGGGGACACACTCGTCCTCCCTGTTGTCCTGTTGCTTGTCGGCATCGAGTGCATGCCCTTCAGGACAGGTGGACCCTAAGCATTACTAGCATCAGTGCACATGCACCGGAAGTCGGTCCATATGGGCACTGCCCTGACCCGTCAGAAAACAGGACACTGATGCCACACGAACAGTTTATCAGTACACAGCTGTCCCCTCATGGGACAGTGACCGCTGTCCCTGGACTAGCATAAACCATGCCTGCGTCTGAGATGGCTCTCACAGTGCTGATCTGTCCGGGCCCCTCCCCTTCCTGTGTCCCCCAGAGAGATCCATCATCAGATCTCACTTGTGCCCAGCTTGCAGGCATCCAGTGGCTCCCACTGCCCTTCCAGTAACTCCAGGACATGCCCAGCTTTGAAGATGCAGGCTGTGTGATGACAGGGCCACTCCCCACCTGGTCCCCACGATGAGCTTCACCTCCACCCGGCAAATGAGATGTCGAAAACAGTAGTGGGAACTGCTTTTAAGACACTATCCCGCTTACCTACAGACTTGAATCTTCTCTCCGTACTGGCTTCCCTGGGGAAAGCTGCTGGCCCCACCACCTTCATCACTGTGATTGGTGCCTTCAAGACTGTGCTGACTCACGGTGACCCCCAACACGCAGAATACAAACACCCGGACAGGTTCTCAGGCTGCTGGCCTTTCAGACACTTGGCCGCCAAGTCCTCTGGGAGGATTTGAACTGCCAACCTTGGGTTTTGGGGGATTTTCTTGCTAGCAGTTGAGTGCTTAACCAATTTTGCTGCCCATTTTTCCAAGGGTCCTTGTAATCTGCCCATCCCATTCTATGAGGAAAATATGGATATTCCTAAGGAAAATTAGCAGTGGTCTCAACAGGGTGGGTAGCCAGTACCCATCTAACCCGATACCAGGGGTCCAGATAGGTGGCCAGGGTGACATTGGTGGGGCAGAACCTCCTCATCCCTCTCCCGGAGGTGAAATTACGTGTGGAAACAGCAAGCTGGTGGCCTCAAGGCAGCGCTGACCTGGCCCTACTCTGAGTCCTTTCCAGGCCACCTCTCCTCACTACCAATGTCACAGCCTCACCATGGGCAGAACCAGGGCCTGAGCGCAGGCCATCAAGGGCCAGCCCCCTGTCCAAATGTCAGTGAGTTAAAAGTTGAGTGCCCCATGTCAGTTCTCATTAGCCACCTCTAAGAGGCTCGGGCTGCGCCTGGGCTGTGACCAGGGCAGCGCGGACGTACAGGGTATATACATCATCACAGAAAGTTCTGGCTTGCCCGCTGGGCACCGCCCTGCATCTTGTCAGGAAGCCACACTTGGCACCAGCCAGAGCCGTGAGGCTTCTGTCACCTGTCGTGCCTGCTGCTGTCTTTATAGAAAACCCGCCTCAGACAGGCCTTGGGTGCTTGTGGTTCCTTTCAGAGGCGTAATTGCGGGTTTTGCACGAGCTGCAGTTCAAGGAGAGGGCAGCGGCTGTGCCCTTCCTCCTGGAAACTGGCTGAGCAGGAGGCTGGGACTGTCAGGTCTGGACGTGCTGCGTCAGGTGCCCCCAGGGTTGCTGCACTGGCCCCCTCAGCAGATGGGAGGCCCCAGCCTTGCTGTTTGTCTTCACAGGGTGGGAACGACCACGAGATCTTCACGGACCCCCGGACCCTGGGCCACACGGTGACGGCGCCCGAGGACACGCGCAGGATCTGCCAGGGCCTCTTCTTCTGAGGGTGCCATCCCATGCCAGGCCTGGTCCCTCCCTCCCATATGGCACATCCCAGCCTGCCACTGGCTCTCCACATCACACAGGAGCTGATGGTGACACTGCCATCAGGGGTGCAGATCACACCCCCCCCGCCTCCAAGCCACCCCAGGAGGAGGATGGACAGATCCTAACAGACTCAGGAATACCTCAGTAGCTGACTGTCTCCCACCCCAGCCCGACCCTGACTCCACCCCCCCGCTCCTGCACGGGGACCTCTCTGACCCTGGGCCTGTGGGAACATGGATGGACTCCCCACATCGATATCATGGAGGGACTTGGAAGGATGGAACGTTTCCTGGGACAGTCTCCCTGCACAATGGCATGATGGGGGCCCAGAAATCCAGGGGCCCATGCTGAAGGCTGGGTAGGATTCTGGGTATGCTCTGATTCTAGCCCCGTTTCCATCTGTTTAACAGGTCAGGCAGCTTGGTGGTGTGGCCTCTGTTCTCACACTGGGGCTGGTGAGGAAGTGGCCCACACCTTGGGATTGAGAGCCCTGGCAGATGGGCCTCGGGGTGCTGGTTACCTTAGAGCTGCAGGCTGCTTCCCCAGAAGAAGTACGTTCTCAGTGGCCCCCCAGGCACCTCACCTGTCTCTCAGGGACTAAGGGGAGGCCTGAACCTCCCACAGGAGCAGGAGATGGCATTTAAGCCCTGCTCAGTGTGTGCCCAGGCTTAGTGTCAGGTGTAAAGGGTGGGAACCAGGGAGGGAGAGCAAGGCCTGGGCCAAATCACTGGTCGTGGACAGGGACCCCTTCCCAAAGAAACGGTTAACCTTCAGCGTTTGCACACAGGACCTGGTGTCCTCTGGGTTCACAGCAGGCTCCTCCCAGGCTGCACTCTGACACCACCACCCCCACCCATCAGGCTGCACTTTCTCAGCAATTCCCAGGACGCAGATGGTATGGTTTTGCTAATGATACTGTAATGACTTTCCAGAATGAAAAGTAGCAAATTAAAGTGATTTTAATTGTTTTCAGCCAAAATCTCCCAGACTCCCCGTTTTTGGTGGTGGTTGGGTGTTTCCCAGTCCGATGACTGTGGGGTGGTCAGCTGCAGATTCACCCCTCTGTGCTCATCTTCTGGAAGGAATCCCCGCCCTTCAGGGAAGCTGAGCACGCGTGCACACACACACACACACACACACCCCGCTTCCCCTGATCTGGGGTCCTGGCAGCACGATGGATCAAGCCATCCCCACAGTCCTGCCGTGGACTCCCCTCACACACACCCCTCCCTGAATATGGGGTCTTGGCAGCACAGAACCACGCTGTCCTCACTGTCCTGGCGTGGACTCCCCTCACACTCTCCGATCTGCAGTCTTCACAGCACAGAGGACCACGCTATCCTCCCTGTCCTGGCGTGGACTCCCCTCACACACGCCTCCCTGGATCTGGAGTCCTGGCAGCACAGGACCGCGCTGTCCCCACTGTCCTGGTGTAGACTCCTCTCACACACACACCCTCACTGAAAGCCCTGGAAGTCTCGTCTTCAAAGTGGGACTCCTCCCAGCCTGTTTGACAGGTGGCAGGAAGTGGCCACTATGTCACCACCTGCCCAAGGATACACTGCAAGGACCAAAGCCAGCAGGCCTGGGCTGCCCTCCCCCCAGACTCCCACCTCAGTCGTCCCTCCCCCTCCTCTTTCTCCCCAGGATTGCCCCTCCCCCTCCTTCCTGTCATCACATTCCACCCAGTCCATCCTCCTCTCTCTGGGCATTCCATGACCCAGGCTGGGCAGCAGGGGGCTGGGTAGGGAGTAATAGTGGGCTCAGCACTTGTCCAGAGCCCCGCCCCACGCCAGGTGCTGTTCCTGGTGCTCCCCCACCAAAATCTGGAGCAGGGCAAATAGGCTCAGATCTCAGTTCTGCGGCCCACTAGCTGCAGGCCCCCCACCCCTGGCAGCTCCTGTGCGCCTGGCTTTCCCTGTCAAGTGAGGTACAGTTCCCAACATGTGGAACTGAAACGCAAGAACATGTCATCAAAGCACTGAAAACAGCAGGTTCACTATTGACTAGCTCGGGTAGCACCATCAGGAGCCCGACATGCAGGTGAGGACCAGGGAACATAGCTCCACAGGACCCCCGAAAGACAGACACTGTCAGCTCCCACACAGGTATGACGACCCTGGCTCAGGGCAGGATGGAGGGCCAATCTGCAGTAACTTGAAATCGCCAGGCCTTTCTTCTGAGGCCCCTCTGGGTAGATTCAAACCTTGCATTCTCACTTGGCGGCACTACCATCTGTGCCCCTCGGGGGGCCCTGCCCTGTTACTTTTAACCCACGAAACAAGCTATTCCGTGGGCCTGTGGAGCTCTCAGGTAAAAGACCAGCACAGAAATGTCCAGACAGTACTGAGCATAGGGCCCTCAGGAGTTTGAAAACACACACACAGCGCCTCAAAACACCAGGGCACTAGAAAGAAAAGCAGGTTTGAGTGGAGGGCGGCCCTGGCATCCTAGAGAGAAGCCTGGGGGGGCCTCAGGAAGGCCGGGCCGAGACAGGCTGCTGGGCAGGGAGTGACTAGAAGGGCCAGGCAAGGCCGGAGATGGGAGCCAGGCGGCAAGGTGTGGAGATGGCCTTGAGTCATCGCCTCCTCTGAGGCGGCTTCTCCTCGGATGAGCTCCTGGACCCCCGCCCTCAGTCACCCCCAGGTGACCCGCCCCCCCAGTCAGGTTCCACCCGCACGGTGCCTGCCACACCCTCCTGTCCCCTGAGAGACACTCCGTGCTGTAAGTGGGAGTCTCACTCACTGTGCTCTGAAGGCCTCCTTCACCTCCTCCCTAAGCAGGTTAGATGGGTTGGGTGTGGCTTCACCCTCCCACATACCCAACAGCGCCCTGGCATCACAGCACACGTGCCCACCATTGCACCCACTTCCCTTGGGAAACAGTGGAAGCAGCATGAGGATCCAAAGTCCCCGGGAGGTGTGGTCTCTGCCCATTCCACACACACACACCCCCACACACACCCAGGGTCCCCAGGAGGTGGTCTCTGCCCATTACACACACACACACCCCCACACACACCCAGGGTCCCCAGGAGGTGGTCTCTGCCCATTCCACACACACACACCCCCACACACACCCAGGGTCCCCAGGAGGTGGTCTCTGCCCATTACACACACACACACACACACTCTTTTCTTTCCCAGCTCTGAATGCCTTTTCTTTCCAGGGTCCCTGGGAGGTGGTCTCTGCCCATTCCCCCCTCCCCCCCACACACACACTTTTATTTCCCCAGCTCTGAATGCGTTTTCTTTCCAGGAACTCTCTTGCCCCATCCACCCCCATTTAGTGAACTCGTTTTCTCCCAAGAGCTTTGTTCTCCCAGCTGCCTCCCAGGAGCCTGCCCTCCCCTCCAGGTGGCTTTCTTCAGACCTGTGGCACCTTCATGTAGAGCCCACTCCACAGGTTTCACGAGTTTGGTTGGGCTGCTCAGCTAAACAGAAAGGCCAGGAGTTCAAACCTCCCAGCAGCAGCTCTGAGGAATAAAGGTGTGGCAACGTGTCTCTGTCAAAGGCCCAGGGACCTCCTCAGCTCTCCCATGGAGGGGGCGCTTGGGGGTCAGAATGAACTTGAGGGCAGGGGGTGAGTGTGTAGGCTCCTGGGGGTGGGGCCAGTGCCTTCCTCTGTCCAATGACAGGCTGCAGCGAAGGTCTATGGAGTCAGCAGCTGCCTGCCTGCTGATAGCAAAACAAGTTCTCGTTCTCGCGGGACCGCAGACCCTCTCCCCCCACCACCACAGGGCTGCAGCAGAAAGGAGCTCTCTCTGACCCTAAAACCCAGCAGGCTGAATAAACAACAGGCTTGTCCACAAGTGACCAAGGAAATGGCCTCTGGTTTTCCCCCGTGTTGCAAAGCCACATTCCACAGTAAGCAATGCTACCCTCGCCAGTGATGACTAAGGGAACCTGGCCGGCTTACTCATCCCCCCAGACTGCAAAGCAGAATGGCTGGGTCAGCCTGCAGCGCGGAGACGCCCTTCCTTACCTGCCCTGCCCGCAGCACCAAGGGGACACTTCTAAGGAAGTCACAGGGACAAACAGCACACATTTAACAGATGTTTCCAGGAAAGCGGCTGACGGGAGGAGACCTGGACTTGGGACTCTTTAAGTTCTGGTCCCGGTTCTGGCTCCAGTTGCGCCTGCCTCTCCCATAGAGATTCAGGGAGGTTCCCCTTCTGTGAAGCTGTCGGTTCACTCGGAGATGGGGGGCAGTCTTGTCCAGCTGCAAATGCACCAGGCCTTGAACTCTCATCCTCCCTCCCTCCCTCATTGCTGTGGAACCAAAATTCATTGTTGAGCTTCCTGTGCGTTTCTGAGGCTGTAAATCAAACAGACTCCCCCCCCACACCACCCCCATCTTTCACTCTCGGAGTTGCTGGTGGCATCCAAGGAGCCTGTGACATTTGGGCCTGCAGCGAAGTTTGCTCCACACCACACCACCTAGCACCACCAGGGCCAGCCAGAAGGAACGTGATCACGTTTGGAGCACATGGAGCCCGCGGCAGACGCCAAAGGTCACCTCCAGCTGAACGAGAGGCCCAGCTCACTGGGCAGAATGCCCGCAATGTGGGACTCCAAGGGGTTGAACTTTGTAGCAAAGTCCTGGTTTCCCACGAGAGAAGAGAGCAAAACCACAGGCCCTTAAAGGGGTCTTGGTTGGTATGCAAGGCTCCAGAGCACATGGTCTGTACCCAAGGAGGAGACCTTGGGAGGGGGCCTGGTTGGAGAACACCCTAAGAGGGGAGGAGCAAGGCCACTCTGACCCGAAGGCAAAGCTGAGAGAGACACGCGGATGTCCTCCAGGGGACACCTAGCTAGCCAGTCACCATCACCCCATACCTGTAGAGATGGACCCGCGCTCCATGGGCTGCTCAAGTCTGTGACCTGTGGGAGGCAGACCACCAGGCCTTTCTTCCAAGGCACCTGAGTGGGTTCAAACTGCCCACTTCTAGGCAAGCAGTTGAGCACTTAACTGTTGGTGGCACCCAGGGGGGCCCTGAAGGGTCCCCTAAGGGGAGTGAGTGGGCTCCTGGGGACGGAACTGCCCTGATGAGTCTGTTCAGTGGCTCGTTGAAACACCCCACCAGTCATCGGCGACGTAGCTCCAGCCCTCACCCCCTTCCCCACAAAGCTATTCTTAGGATTAATTCAAAGAGGCCTCAATGAATCCCCCCTCTTCCACCAGGCAGCAGTGGTGGCATCTGCCCAAGAGCCACTGCTCCCAAGTGTCCCCTTTTGTGCGGTGACAGATGGACTCTTGACCACTCCAGGGCCACATCTTCCCAAACACCACCCGGCTGTTTCCATGTTGAAATCACAACCAGAGTCAGACCCAGTCACGGCAAAGAAAACCCCAAGTGCTTGTTTACTCAAAGCAGATTCACAGAGGTGCATAAACACTGGTGGCCTGGGCGGGAAGCCCCACTGAGTAAGAGAAAAATAATACACTCTTAAACATGTCTGCATGCAGGTTCGGAAGGACAGACCCCCAGGGGGCTTTCGCCTGCAGTTTCTGACTTTACTAGGCTGTCAATGTGCAAGCAGCCCGCTCTTTGCTAGGATTCCAAAAGATCTGGCTTTAAACAGACAGCCCCCCTCCCTCCACCCACCCCTCCCACACTCTCTACCGCCCCCCATCACACAACCCCACTCTCAAAAAGCCCTTCGACTCCAGACTCTCTGCACCAACTGCTGCAAAAATGTGAAGCCTTACTCCCCTCCCACCCAACCCCCTGTAACCAGCACTTCTTAATCCTAAACTAAAAAATTAGCAATAGAGGTGCCCCCCCAACCCCGACCGCAAGGCCCAGGGGAGAGATGGGGTGAAGCACACGGGTAGAGGGTCATTCAAGAGTCACACACAGACCCCGAGTGGGCAGAGGTGGGGCCTCTGACCCGCCACAACTGAGGACAAGGAACTGACGGGTGAACAGGCTTCTCTGGGCTCACCAGGGAAGGGTCATCAGACCCCCCGACCCAGGCTGGGTCGGACCCTCCAGTCCCCCCACCAGAGGGGCGCCTCTCTTTTTCAAATGCCTTTAATGCTTTTCAGATGGTGAGAGGTTGTTGCAATGGTCAGAGGTCGCACTGGTGGCTGAGACCACCCTCATCCCGGCCCGGCCCCCACACTGCTTCCACCCGAGAGGACCGGACTGGGATCGTGCTGCTCCAAAGGCCATGTGGTGCTGTGCGTGTCATCGGCACTCAGTCTTCTCCTCGTCCAGAGCCTCCAAAAGCCCAGGAGAAGGGGCGCTGGCATCTCCTAGGAACTGACGACGTGCCCAGACCAGGTCTCGTGCTTGGTGCCTGGCGCCAGGTGGGTGATGACCACTTCCACGGCCTGCAGCTTCTCGTTCTTGGGGGGGATGGAGCACATCTTATAGGTGACCTCGTCACCTTCCACTGGGACGTACTCTCCTTCCACGCTGTGGAGTGAGGGGGGAGAGCTCAGTGGGGTGGAGGCACATCAGGCCCCTCCTGGTCCCGTGCACCACCAGCTGGTTTCCAACATCACCCACCTGAACCACCAGCCCCTTCCCCAGGACCGACCCCTGCCCTTCTCCACTGGGGAGCGCCCCACCACTCTGCGGGCTGGAGTCAGGTAGAGGGGGATTTCTGTTCTCAAAAAAAAGTCAAGTGCATCTCCTCACCCCAGCTATCTGTGCACATGGCTTTGGAAGATGTAATTAGCAAAGATGAAGTCATATTGGAACTGGACAAGATTTAATCCATTATGACAGGTATCCTTACTAAGAGTTACAGAGACAGACACAGAGAGAGAAGACAAAGATGGAGACGGGATTAGAGTGGTGCAGCCCCAGGCCAAGGCAATGCGTGAGGCCATCAGAAGCTGGAAGAAGCAGGGAAAGGTCTATCCCATTGCGAGTTTGGAAGGAGCAAGGCATTGGCAGCTTCCTTCATTTCAGATTTCTGTCTCCAGACCCAGCGGAGATTTTCTGTTGTTTTAACCAGCTTGGTGATACTTTGTTAAGCTTGATTATAGCAGCTAGAGGAAAAGTCACAGGACCTCCCTCCCTCCCCTGGGAACTGGGCTGATAGGGGCTCATCCAGGCCATGTGTGCATGGGGCTACAGGCAGGAAAGAAGAACAGGGAATCATTCTGCATCAGACCGGATGAGCAGTCACAGAACGGGAAGCTTAGTTGAGAAGTGACTGGGCAAGGGCTTCTAAACTTAGGAAATTCAGAACCTGAGCTGCCTCTCCGTTCTTGAATTCCTGATACCCAGTGAATCTTCCAGAAAGTCTCTCTTGTGCTGAGGGCTAGTTCCCTAGTTCTCTCCTTTGGGACACTCCTCCCCCTTTTCTATGGGCCTGAGTCTCCACCACATTCACGATCGGACCTTCAGACTCCAATCCCTGGGGCAGCGAGCTCCCTGGGAAGTGGTTTGGTTTCACTGGAGAATTTTATTGCTGCTCTTTTTTCCCCTCTTTGCTTGGGCCACCAGGAGGCTCAGAAATCCATTTTATGGGGAATTGTATAGCAAATCACAAAAATAAATCAGAAGCAGAGGCAGGCACCCAAGTATCTCCTCCACCTTCCTGCTTTATCCCTTGTAACTGTTTCTTTCCTGTGGGGATTATGTTTGTCTCTTTGTAAACCACAGCTTCTTAGGAAGACGCCAATGGGTAAACAAACGCAGAGACACGCCCTCATACACTCAGGATGTTATCACTGCAGATCTTTTTCTGAGTCTGAACTGCACAGGTGGGTCTTGAAACAAACATGTAACAGGGCTGCAGAGAAGAGTGGAGGGAGGGAAACTCTCCTATCACATCACACAATTTGCCACAGAATAATCCTGTTTTTAAAAATGTGGTCCAATATTCTGTGCTGCTCAGGGACTGACTTTGTCTGTCCAGCCAGAAATTAAAGTTTTAGAGGGGGCAGAACTGGTGTGCACAAAGCCAAAGACAAGGGGTCTTGAGGTCACTGGAGAAGCAGACAGTGACTCAGGTGGTCCTCCTAACACCCTGCCTGGGACCCCAAGAGCTCCAGACACGCAGGAAGGAATTGTGTCAGTGAGCAAGGGGCAGGAGAAAGGGTCCAGCCCAGACTTCCTTCCTGGAGCAGCGGAGTGGCAGCAAATGCACTCAGGCTCACCCTCGTGGGTCTCTCATTGTCACACAGACACAGTCACACATGCACACTCTCATACATGCACCTATACACACAATGTACACACACAATCATTCACACATGCCAGTGACAACTCCAATGGGACTGTCCCCACCACCCCCAGCCTCATACATGGACACAGCTATGTAGAATCCCACCCCACCTCCGCCAGATGGAGTTACACAAGGACAGACAGCATCAGAGGACCAGTCAGGTGCCGAGTCACAGGCACCACTGTTGCCAGCATCCCAGTCACACACAGCCTCAAACCCCACGAAGCCGCCCTGGTTGACGTACTCTGAGATGTGCAGGAAGATGTCGGGGCCGCCATCGGCCGGGGTGATGAAGCCGTGACCCTTCGATCGGCAAAAGCATTTGCAGACCCCTTTGTAGATAGGGCCCTGGGAAGCCCTCACCGTCCTGAGGAGAGAGAGGTGTGAGGGGGGGACCCTGTGTCCCAGGCCAGCCCTCCTGGACCCCTGCGTGCTCTCTTGGGGCCCCTTCTCCCAGCCATCGCCCACACCTACACTCAGGAGAATTGAGCACCAGGGCCGCAGGGCACAGGTGCAACTTTGCAAGACATTCCTTCCACGTTCCCGAGGCCCAGCTCTGCCAGACAGACCCTCTGGATGATCCTAGCAAGATTGTGGGCCTTAGTTTCCCCTTCTAGAAAGAGGGAGTGGAACAAAAATATCTTGGCGTTCCTCGGGGAACTTATTAATAGCAACCAGTTAACAGCAGCATCCTCCACAACCCAAGTCCCTGCAGTGTGACTGTCAGACACTGGGGGGCACCGGACAGTTCCTCTGTTATCTCACGGCCACCTGCTACTGTCCTACTGTCCCCATTTTGCCATTGAGGACGTTGAGGATCCCAAGGCGAAGAGGCTTGTGTCTAGGTCAAGTCTAGGGATTCTAAGCAGGTCTCCAAACCCATTCACAGAAACAAGGCCAGCACACGTGTTGTATAGCAACCGTATCTTTTGCTCCAAGGATTTGCACCCAAAGTAAACAAAACAGTGCTGTTCCCTACAGAGGCGGTGGCTCAGGACAGGGCCTGCAGGGCTGGGGCCAGCAGCCTCTTGACTTCCCAGGACACCTCTCCCCAGTTGTCCTGTCCCCCACTCCCACCCAGCCCAAGACTCCCCATGTGATAGACAGGGAGACCTGGTGCCAGTCCCACTGTGAATCTCCCCCTGGGGGAGGAGACCCCTCTCAGCAACCCCCCACCCCTGCCTGGTCCAGTCTGAGACTCACGCAGAGAAGGTCCTCGTCCGGCGAGTGGGCAGTGGGCTGGGGACCACGTTGCCTCGCAGAGGGGACGGCGAGCGCTCTCGGCCCCTCGGGGTATCCAGCAGCCCAACTGACGCCTGGTGGGTGGGGGGCTGCGGCGGTGGGGGAGGCTCGGATGACATGGCTAACCTGGAGAGAGATGAGGGGGTGCTGTCAGGCCACGCTGGAGCGACCACCTGAGACCCAGACCTCAGAGGTGAGCGCTGCTGGGGCACCTGCTCTGGGATCTACCCCAGCCCCAACCCCTGTACCCAGGCTGAGGTCGCATGCAGGCATGCCAGACTGCCCCAAGGGTCAAGGATGGCATTGGTCCCCTCTACGTCCCAGGACTATGCACAGAATGCCAGCACCCTGTCGTTGCGAGGTGCTCTCACGTACGACTCAGCAACCCTCTGAACCACAGATCTGACCTCTGTCCTGTGATGTCCTCAACATCCCTGACACACTTGAGCCCATTGCTGTAGTCACTGTGTTGGTGGCCTTTTTCTCCCTCGCCGATCCATCTTTCCAAGCCCGATGTCCCTCTCTAAGGAAAACCCTCTCCTATCAACAGGCCCCAAGTATGACAGACACTTTTTCCAAGACATTTCTGGGCATTTAGAAAACAGTTATGCCAGGGTGCTCTGGTGGCGCATTCTACAGGGAGTTGAGCTGCTAATCTATAGGCTGCACCTCTCCAGTGGTTCAAATCCACTAAAGGATCTGAGAGAGCAAGTGGGGCAAGGTCCTCCCAGCCTCAGAATTCCAGCTATGAATCTGTTCCCACTCAGGGGTAACAAGTCAGTGACCGCATGTATGGAAATGATGAGGAGGGAATGAAGGTTAGAACAAGAGGGAGGAAGGAGGGAGGAGACGGGGGAGGGATTGCAGAGGACAGACAGATTTCCTCAGCCAGCGGGACTCCGGTCCCTAAAGGCCTCCCTGCGGTGCCTGGACACCAGAGGAAGTGCCAAGTGTCTGCCTCAGAGAAGCTCCTGGACACACACCCGACACGATCAACCCTGAGATCCAGGCCCCCAGCAGCTGTCCCAGGACTGGGTGGCCGGTCGGTCACAGGGGTCCCCGAAGGGCGAAGAGAGGAGGGGACATTTCAAAGGTCAGGATTCAGCATCGCCTGCTTAACTGATTCCCTCCAAGACTCTCACATGAGTCAGGGCTGGAGGGGAGGGCCCAGGCGATGGGGGCTTTGTAGCCTGGTGCCAACGGCAGGGCAGTGGTCATCGAACCCAGGCAGGAAAGGGGAATCGTGGTCTCAAGGAACCAGTCCCATCCCTGGGGTGTCTTTGCCCCTCTGGGACTGTGAACAGAGGCAGAGCTGTGATGGGGAGGACTTGTCCCCACCCAGGACAGAGGAGTCTCAGCTCAGCGCTCATCCAAGGTCAGCCTGAAGTCCAGGGCCACAGTCAGTGCAGACAGCCCAAGGCCACTTCACTAGATAGCCCCAAAGTACGTGGTTTGAACATGATAAGAACCACTGTCAGCCACAGGCTATTAGCTGCACATTCCAGCTCTACGGACAATTCTGAGAAAGTTCTGAGAGCTGTGAACAGTGTGTCTCTCCCCTGCCTCTCCCACTGACAGAAAACATAAGCACAAGCATGCGCGCGCGCGCGCGCGCACACACACACACACACACACCCCCAACTACACCATGCTGGACTTTCTGGCTTCCTCCTCCTGCTAGCAATCCCCCTGACAGGGCTCAGTCCACACCCCCAGAGCTAGGCTGAGTCCTCAGGGGGAGGGTCTCCAAAGGGCAGCCCCCCACCCTCTACAAGCTCCTACATTCCCGTCAGGTCACGGCTCTGTCATGCTAGGAGAAAGTGATATAGCTACCTCCCAAACCCCATCTTTTAACAGGGGACCACGAGGGGAGCCCCCACCTCATAGAGACCCCGGCTGGCCGGCTGGAGATCCGGGCTCCAGCATCACCCACCAGCACAGGTCATAGAGTCCTGGAATGTTCCAAGGCCTAGGGTTCCAGGCAGGGACCCCGCCCAAGTCCCTCCACACCCAGCAGAGCCAGGACAATGAGGGCTTCGTGGCAATGAGTGAGGCGGATGTCCATCTAGACCCTCTCGCCTGCTTCACCTCTGGGGGTCAGTCACACCTACAAGTTACACCACTCCCCAGCTGTGTGACCTCAAACGAGTTCCTCAGCCTCTCTGGGCCTCCGTGTCCTCACCTGGAAAATGGGGAATTATGATAGACCTGCTCTCACGCCACTGCTGACGGTGAAATGAGATCATACATGCCACACCCCTAGCAGAGGGAGCCCTGGTGGTGCTGTGGGCTAAGAGGGCAGATGCGAAGTCCAACGCAAGCAGTTCGATCCTGCCAGCGGCGGTGAGATATGGCAGGATCGGCGCTTGTTGTTAGGTGGTAACATGCCAAGTCAGTGGGGACCACGGTGGACCCGTCCCCAGCCCTGAGCCATGCTCACTCAGCTCTGTAAAGGCTCTGTGTTGCTCCCTCTCACTCAAGGACTGTAATCTCAGAAAGCCTAGAAGCCCAGGGAAGTTCCACTCTGCCCTGACCGGGTCACTATGAGTCACGGTCGACCAGACGGCAATAGCTGCAGGCAATAGCTGCACTCCACCAGTCTGGAACAGCACTCGGCGATTGTCAGTGTCACTAGGGAGTCTTACCGCCGACCCAAAGGCTGCGCCTCTCCTGAGGTTCAAATCCACCACTAGATCCACAAGAGAATGAAAATCAATCTCCATCAATCTCTTCTCGTGCAGTTTACAGTCTCGGGAAGCTGGGGGGGGTGGGGTGTCAGGGATGAGTCAGTTTGTCTTGGTGGCATTACGAGTTGATCACTGTGATTATAATCAATCATCTCCCCAGAGTCACTCAACAAGCACGTACCCGGTGGCCTTGTTTACAGCATTTCAGAAACAAAACAGAGGCAAACAAGCATAAATCATGACAGATTTCCAAAAGGACTGCAAAGAAATGGAATAAAAAGTCAGGGCAGGATGACACTGCATGAAGGCGTGAGCCAGGCCCTGCAGGATGAGAAAGCGACTCAATCCTGTGAGAGCCGGAGGATGGGTGGCTAAGGGAGCAGCCCGTGCAAAGGCCCAGGGGTGGGCAAGGGCCAGGGTGCTGGGATGGGCCTTTGAGACATGGGGGGGGGGTGAGGGGAGGAGATGCAGCAGGAAGGAGGCAGGGCCAGTTCTGTTATTAGGTGTCACTGTCACCAGCATCATCACATGCAATGTGCCCCTTCCTTTCTTGTCCCCAGGCCCCTGACTGTTCCTCCCACCCCCTGGCTTAATGAAGCAGGCTTGACTTGGAGGCCTCTTTCCCTCCAAAGGCATTCCACAGGCACAGCAGTTAAGGTTAGCTGCCAACCAAAGGGCTGGTAGTTTGAATCCCCCAGTTCTGAAACCTCCTCAGAAAAAAAAAATATGAAGCAGTCTGCTCCCATAAAAATTCTACTTACTACTGTTGAGTCTGAAGAACTGATGTGTATAGCAGACCCTCCAGGGGGTTTTTAGAGGCTTTAAATCTCATGGGAGGAGATTTCCCATTTTTCCTCCCATAGAGCTCCTCGTGGATTCAAACCACCTGCCTTTGGGTTGGCAGTGCAACTCTTCACCCACTAGACCACAAGCTACCTTGGAAACCCTGTGGTGTAGTTCTATTCTGTCCTATAGAATTGCTATGAGTTGAAAGTGAACTGATGGTAGTGGGGCTTGGTTCTCTCTCTCTATTCTCACCCCATCAGTCAATGCAAGCAAGCCTGAGACCAGCATCCTCCCACACGTCACCAAGGCTCAGCCCAGGAGCGGGCCTGGAGCAGGTACTCAGGCATATCCAGTGAACTGCCCTCAAATGAGCTCTGAACCAGCATTAGACCCAGCCAGCCGAGTACGCCACTCCGAGCTCCTTGTGTACACACACCCTGTGCACACATGCGCAGACACATATGTACACACATGCACGTACCATGTGCAGACAGACACATATGCATATAGTCAGATGTGTGTGCACAGATGTAATGAGCTGGGTGCAAGTGCACGTTCACATATCCAGATGACCTGAGCGTCTGCTCTCCTGCATGTGCAAACATAAATGCATCAGTCGAGCCCCATCATTCTTGCTCACTTGACAAGGAAAGAAACTGAGGCAGAGACAGCACAAATGATGGCAGGATGGGGAGACTGCTTTCCATGGACTGTCTGAGGGGGAAAAGGAGCTGGGGTGATTGCAGAGAAGTTACATAGAAATGACAAAATGTTTTAATATAAGTGATTCTTAGAAAGGTCACCTGGAGATCCTGTTAACATGTAGATTCTGATCTAACATATCTGGGGGGAAATGCAAATTCTCAGCAGAGGAACAAAACTGGAATGAGCCAGTTGGAAGCCCTGAGGGAAGCGGAGGGCTGGTCAAAATCCAGCTTTCAGGAAAACTGTGACCCAAGAGCTATTCACTGTCCCTGGACATAGGTGGGGCCAGGCCCACGGGCAGGGGCCAGGCAGCTGATAACTGCTATCCCAGTCAAGTATTCCACAGAAGAGGCAGGGCCCAGCGTCGGTGCCTCCCTGCACACTGTCATCCCTCAGCCCTGGGGCTCTCATCTGATCCCTAGGCCTCTGGTACTGCACAGTCAGAGCCAAACGTAAGGCCACAGCAAGGCTCATCTCCTGCGCAGACTATAATGAGAGTACATGGACATACGCATAAGGGTGTACGCACACTGACATACAGATGGACGCATGTGTGTTTACCTGCGTGTGTGCGTGTGGGGGTGGGGGTGGAGGTCTGCATGTCTGTTCACTCACAACTGTGCATGTGTTTATGTGTGCGCGCACACATCAGTGTATGTGAGCATGGACTGGCAGTGTCTTCACATGTTCACCCATGAGTGTGCATATAGTTTTGCACATATGTTCACCCATGACTGTGTGTGTTTATGCATGTGCACACATGTAGAAGTATAAGAGCATGGATGGGCAGTGTATGCACGTGTTCACCCATGAGTGTGCATATAGTTTTGCACATATGTTCACCCATGACTGTGTGTGTTTATGCATGTGCACACATGTAGAAGTATAAGAGCATGGATGGGCAGTGTATGCACGTGTTCACCCATGAGTGTGCATGTGTTGTATATGTGTGTCTGCATGCATGTTCACCCATGGTTGTACATGTGTTTCTGTGTGTACACACATACACCCTTGTAGATGTGGCAGTATCTTTTTACCTCTCAGTGTTCCTCTGTGTGTGTGTGTGTGTGATTGTGTGTACACACGTGTAGGTCTACATGTCTGTTCTGTTCTCTGGACCTATCCATGCATCTGAGCCCACACACAGGCTGTCCTGGCCTCCCATGGGCCTTGCACCAGAAGTCCTGGAGGAAAGGCACCCTCAGGATATCCATCTCCTATTTAGCCAGCAATTAAGAAGACTGATTTTAGGGGAGCTCTGGTGGCCTAGTGGCAAGGAGCTGCAACTACAATCCCAGAGGCGAACGGTTTGAATCCACCAGATGCTCTGCCAGGGAAGGAGGGACAATCTCCTCCTGTACCAGTCAGATCTGATTTGACAGTACACACACACAAAAATAATAATAATTAAAAAAATACATTAAAAAAAAAAAAGAAGACTGATTTTGTACAGGAAGTGGTAGAAACTGGAACAGGGGTGTTCTGCCCCAGAGAAGCTTCTAGTCACTGGGAGTTGGGGGTGGAACCACTGCTCTTGTAAACTGGAGGTGAGTGGCTAGCCATGCCCCCAACATGTGATTGGTGCCTGGCCAGGGAGGGGGCTGAGAGTCAGGAGGCCCCAGAGAGGCCTGGCAGAAGGGCCTGCTCCACCCTGGGAAAGGGCACGAGAAGGGGCCACAGTCCAAAATAGCCTGGGAATTTTCCACTTACCACCCTGTAGGTATGACATTGATTCCTGAGGCCTTGTTTTTTAGGGTGGTTTTTTTGGGCCAATTCTTTCAGAGCAGCTTGAACTTCTTTTTTCATCACCATAGACTCTTGCTCACACATTGTTTATGAAATTCTGTGTCTGCCAATTCCTTTTCGTACAATGACTCTGAATACTCTTTCCATCTTCTTTTAATGCTTCCTGGATTATTTAATATTCTGCCCAAAGCATCCTTAAGTATTGCAACTTGATGCTTGAATTTGTTCTTCAGTTCCTTCAGCTTAAGAAATGCTGAGCGAGTTTGCCCCTTTCGGTTTTCTGACTCCAGCTCCTTGCACATTTCACTGTAATACTTTACTTTGTCTTCCTGCATTGTCCTTTGGAATCTTCTGTTCAAATAGATGCTGCCCTAGATGTGCTCCCCAAGCTGTGCCAAGAAATCTGAAGGACAACCACCTGGCCTACTGACTGGAAGAGATCTTTTATTTGTTCCCATTCCGAAGAAAAGTGATCCGAAAGAGTACAGAAATTATCGAACAATATCACTGATATCACATGCAAGCAAGATTCTGCTAAAGATTATCCAAAACCGACTGGAACAGTACATCAACAGTGAACTGCCTGAAGTGCAGGCTGGGTTTAGAAGAGGCCTTAGAATTAGAGATATTATAGCTAATGTCAGATGGATCTTGGCCGAAAGCAGAGAGTACCAGAGGAATGTCTATCTGTATTTCATTGACTATGCAAAAGCACTTGACTGACTCTGAGAATAATGGGAATCTCAGAACACTCGATTGTGCTAATGCAAAACCTATACTTGGACCATGAGGCAGTCGTCAGAATGGACCGAGGAGACACTGCATGGTTCAAAATTGGGAAAGGTATGAGCCAAGGATGTGTCCTATCTCCGTATCTTTTCAATCTATATACAGAACAGATTATCTGGGAGGCTGGGCTCTATGAAGAGAAATGTGGCATCAGGATTGGAGGCAGACCCATCAACAATCTGCATTATGCAGATGACACAACCCTGCTTGCTGAAACGGAGGAGGACCTGAAGTGCTTGCTGCAGAAGGTCAAGGACTGCAGCCTTCAATATGGATTGAAGCTCAACATCAAGAAAATAAAGATTCCCACCACTGGGCCGATTGGCGCAACATAATGGATGGATGGTGAAGAGACTGAGCTTGGTACCAGCAGCCAAGAAATCAAGAGATGAATTGCATTGGGAAAGTCTGCTGTCAGAGACCTCGCCAAAGTACTGAAGAGCAACGATGTCAGTCTAGAGACTACGGTGCACCTGATCCAGGCCACAGTCTCTGCAATTGCTTGCTATGCATTAGAAAGTTGGACTATGACTAAGGATGATGAGCTGTGGTGCTGGAAAAGAGTATTGAATATACCATGGACCACTAGGAGAACAAACAGGTTCATCCTGGAGAGGGTGAAGCCAGCCTGCTCCTTAGAGGCAAGGATTCTGAAGCTTTGTCTGACATACTTTGGACATGCTGCAAGGCAGGACCAGTCCTTTGAGAGGGATGTCATGCTTTGGAGGGTGGAGGGACAGCGCTAGAGAGGAAGACCCTCTATGAGGTGGATTGATTCAGTGATTGGGGTAATGGGAGTAGGTGTGTCAGAGAGAATAAGACTGGCGCAGGATAGAGCAGGGTTTAGGGTTGTTGTACATAGGGTTGCTATGAGTTGCAGGTGACTCGTTGGCACATAACAACACCCTATAGGTGCTCCTGGAAGATTCTTGTGATTCACAGAGGAATGAGTTGCTCCTTAGGGTCAAGCTCTGGTCTCCTTGACCACATCCATTCCATAATGTTAGAACTCAATCCTGCCGGGCCCCGCACTTTCCATCTTCCCAGAAGGCATAATCACACCTCTTTGGAGGAGTCCCTGGAAGCCCACCCCATCAAAGCTGGTGGAACCCCCAAGACTGTGGCTCTGGGACACGCTGCAAACCTGGAATGGAACACACACACACACACACACACACACACACACACACACCTCCCCCGATCATCTGACAGCCAGACAAGACAGGTGTATAAAGTGAACAAAGACACTGGTTAGAAATGCACCCCACATTACAATCACCTTTATGAGACCGAAGGGGCCGCGTCTGTCCCCAAACAAAACCTGGCGCAGAGCGCAGAGAGTGGCAGAAAAGAATGAGGAATGGAAACAGGAAGCCCAGGGAGGAAGTAGGGAGCGTGCTGCTGCATTGAGGGGATTGCGACTGATGTTGTGAAACAAAACACGATACACTGAAAAGCGGAAAGTATTTGGCTCTGAAAACTTTCACTCAAACCACAGTCACTTAATTAAAAAAAAAAAGTCTATTTGGAGGCAGAAGCAGAGCAAACATTCAGGGAGGGCCCCCAGCTGTACCATCCACCATGCACACATTAGTGAGAGCCAGTCTGCAGCTCACTGTCCCAAAGCTCCACTCACAGTCCTTTCAGACCCCTTGCTGGAAGGCAGGGAGATGGGGCCGGGGCGCAAATGCTGGGTTCAAGTCAGATGCTTCATTCTGTACGTAACATTTCTGCAAAGCCTTAACCTCTCAGAGCCTGCTCTATAAAACTGGGTCTCCTTTCATTACCCTGACTGAGCTTAGCAGTGAGATTTCTCCCTACTTTACCTACAAGGCCCAGGGCCTGGACCCAGCAGTAGCTGGTGAGGGATGCTAGCTCATACTACCCCTGGTGGGGCAGAGAGCGATGTCCACTGCCCGCTAACCTCTGTGCCTGAATCCCCATACCCACCTGGTCTTTTATGAACCCATTTCACAGGGCAGGAAACTAAAACATGGAGAGGACGGTGTTCAAGTGCGCACTCAGATGGGGTCAGGCTGTGGTGGGCCCGCAACCCTCTATCAAGCAGCCGTGAGGGCCATGCCATGTTGCTGGCCCGCTGACCACCAGGAGCCGCACCTCAGGTGAACTGACTTGTCCACCTGGCAGAGACAGACTGGAACCCAGTGTGAGAGGATGGGTGAGTATGAGAGGGGCGGGGCTTCCGGTGAGGACAGGTTAGCCTAAAGGCCCTGGTACCTGCTGGGAAAATATTGGCTCCAGCGGGGTAGAAGCGACCCCACAGGGCGGAGGGGCAGGACAGAGGCGACCCTAGAAGGCAGAGGGGCGGAGCGCCTGCCAGAAGCTGATGGGATATGCGAGCTCTCATTGTACAGGGGGGAAAGGGGGTGAAGGGAAAAGAGAGGAGGGAGAAGGAACAAAAACAGAGAAGGCAGGGCGCCCCCAGTCCCACTCCAGCTTGCTTGCCAGGGGCATGAAAACCACCTGACAGGGGTAGGGGTCGATGCCCTCCCTGGGACCCCTTCCCACCCGGGGTCCTAAGTGCTGGGGAGACACCGGAAGCCCAGGGCAGGTTGTAGGCAGGTGGCAGAAGATATCCCATCCCAACCCTGGCAGCAGCCTGGCACAGTGGACAATCCAACAACTCCCACCCTCGGGCAGCCCTCCTAGGAGTGACCAGAATCTTACTCTGCATCCCGCCCTCCCCAATTCACTCACTCACTCATTACATGCGCCTTCCCTCCCTCAGTATCTGGTGGCTGAGACATGAGGCTAGAGTTCCTGCCCCAACTTTCCCCCTTCACCCATCCTCTGTGACCCCCAGCCAGTGCTCCCCTCTCCCAGCCTCAGTTTCATCACTTGTCAAATGGGACCCAGGGAACTTGGACGTGTTCCCCAGGGGCAGGCACTGCCCCATAGACATCACCAGCTCAGGCTAGGCTCAGATAATGGATCACATCACCCATGCTGGGGCTGTCAGGCGAGGTGTCAGCTAGAATAATCCTGCCCTCCATTCCTGTCCCTGCTGATGGGGCAGGAATCAAAGGCTCTGCTATTCTCTGGACTGACACTGGCTGCAGGTCAAAGATGCTTCCCTTCCACCAGGGCGGGCCTCAACCCCACCCCAAAACCCCAGGACCATTCCTTCCCCAGCAGTGCACCTCAAACAGGACCCCATCTTTGTACTGGAGGGGCTGCCAGCCCTGTAGGGGGCTGAGGGATGGGGAAAGGGGGGATACACCTTGGGGGTGCAGCACGAGGCTGGGGTGGGGCATGCGCAGTACAAGCAGTTTTAGAAGGCACCGTTCTAGGCAGGCCCTGAGCAAAAAGGGAGGTGGGAGCTCCAGGAACACCTCAACTTCCTGGGGTGTCTGATCAGTTCCCCAAGAGGAGGGAATGCTGAGTAGGGTCCTGAAGGACCACTTCAAGAGAAGGAGAGGTCATTTCCAGCAGAGGGGCCTGCAGCAGGGTGGGAAAGGGTGGGTGTGGGAGGGATGAGGTTGGCAGAGACCACTGAAGAGGGCTGTCCCCTCATCACAAAAAGCTGAAACGCTGGGGACTTAGACAACAGTGGAGAGTTGAGCAGATGGGTTTTAATGGAACACTTGCAAGCCAAGGATTGATGCGAACAGACTGCGTGTTTACAACTTCTCTCTGGCTTGGGAGTGAAGGAGGGATCGGATGGGCCAAGCGTGGACACAGAGCAACCAAAAAATAAAAACAGAGCGATTAGGAAGTGTAGTACTAGCGAGGGACATTGGTGTCATAGTCTAGTGCTAGATCCTAGGGACTTGAACTACTAACTCATAGGCCATCCTGCTCTGATGGTAAAATCACCAGAAAGGCCATCTATGCGATTTACCACCTCTCAAATCCAATCGAGGATCAGCTACTAGTCGTTTTGGGGTTTGGTTTTGTTTCTCCCCCCACCTCGTTTTAACGTCGAATCAGATCCGACTGACACAAGAGGAGATTGCCCCTCCTTCTCAAGCGGTGCATCTGGTGGATTTGAAACACGAGCCTTCGGGATTGCAGCGCAGCTTCTTGCCAGTAGACCACCAGAGCGTCCTACTATGAGCAAATGTTCCTCCAGGAACTAGCTAGTCGGCTCGTTCTATCCTTATCACACCCCTTTCTCATTGCTGGCGACTCAGAAGTGACTCACAGCTGATCCTCTAGTGGCTTTTCTTTTTCGGGAGGCTGTAAATCACAGGGGAGATTACCCATCTTTCTTCCTTGACGCGCTACCCGCTGGCGGATTCGAACTACCAGAGACAACTCCTTAGGACTATGCCACATTATATTGGTATCTATTGTTGTTTGGTGCCCTCAGATCGATTCTGGAGCACAGTGACAGAGAACTGCCCCACAGGGTTGAATTTCTAGGCTGCAAATCATTTGCCTGCAAAAATGCTGAGCGGGTCCCAAAAGCCAACTCTGGTTATGGTGTTTAACCACTGCGCCACCAGGGCTGCTGATCTCCAATTAACAGATGGAGAAACTGAGGCTGCCAGCTGCCACTTATTTCTTAACGAACCATCAGGGAGGGACTCTGCGTGGGAGGTTGATCTACGCCCTCCTGTCTCCTAAATTCACATTTACTCTAACCCCCAAAAAAGCAGGGGAATCAAAAGAGCGCTGCATTTCCGGCCTGCCAACCTCGGCCCGGGGGAGGGAGGCTGTGGGCGCGGGTGAAGTTTTCCTCCTCCGCCTCGGGTGCTCCCCATCCGGGCGCAAACACTCCAGGCAAGTGCGCCCAGTTGGCTCCTCCCTCCCCAGATGCGGCCAATAGTGAGGCGCCGGGGCAGTGCTCCCCTCCCCCTGCTGGACAGGCCACTCTTCCCCCGCGGAGCCCACAGCTGGCTAGGCAGGGGGGCACACGGCATCCGGCGTTCCCCGCGCCTCGCCCCACTGCACTGGGTCACCCCACGCCTGTGCAGCCTGCAGGCGAAACGGGCAGGGAAGGGGTCCAGAGGAGGAGAGTTTTCCCAGAACGCAGAAAACAGGTGGCCAGGCGGGAAGTACTGCCAGCCGTCTGCCTGGAGTCCCTCCTGCTGCTGCCACACCCACCCTTCCCATCAGGCTCAGGAGGCAGCTGGGGCATTTCCGAGGGGCCTGGAGCTGCTATCACCCAAGCCCCTGATGGCCAGCTAGAAGGGGCCAGCACAGGGGTTTGCAAGAGGGTCTTGGCGGCAAAGGCAACCGAAGCCCCAGTGAGTTTGTTTCTGGGGCCTTGAGAGTGAAGTTTCCTATACGCCCCTCCTGAAGCACCCCAAAAACTCCCTACCTGGTGAACCGATCCGCTCCGCCAGCAGCAAGGCTCAGAATGCGAGAGCAGAGCTGGGGCGGGGGCGTGGTCAGGGGGCGGACTAGTTGTATGCTAGGTCCCGCCCCTTCGTGGGCCTTCCAACCAATAAGAACGGCAGTACAGCAGGGGCGGAGCGGGCTCTCCACGGCCCTGCTCCAGGATCCGCCCCTGGAAACTCCCTGGCCAATGGGGACGGTGGATGCAGCCCGGGGAGACAGCAGTGGGGCGGGGCTAGACTTCCCGGACGTTACCTTTGTGTGGGCTCGGGGGCCCGGCGGGAGGCGGGGCGCAGGGCGGGGACCCAGCCTCTGGCCCCGGAAAAGTGGAGGAGTGACCAAAAAGAGACCAAGGAAAAACAAACAAACCATGATTTAGATGGAGAGAAAGAGTAAAAACTAATAAATGCAAAAAAGGAGGAGGAGCTATTGGTTTCTTTGTCCAGTTTTTTTTGTTTGGGTTTGATTTGGATTTTTCCATCTCTTTTCTTGCATCTTAAATCTCCTTTTCTTCCTTGAGGTCTCTGTCCTTTGGAGTTAATGGTATTATTTCCCAGTTTCCAGAAGGGAAAATTAAGATATAAAGTGCAAAGCAGCTCCTGAGCGCGAGCCTAGGCTAGAGTTACCATTTGAGAAAGGAAGAGAAAAGGCGTTCTGGTGGTGCCATGGTTAAGCCACTTGATTGCTAGCAGAAAGGCTGGTGGTTCGAAACCAACAGTAGCTTTTCGGAAGAAAGACATCCAATCGGCTTTGGTAAAGATGTATATCCCTAGAAACTCTATGGTTCTACTCTGTTTTTCAAGATATCTCTGAGTCTGATTTCACTTGAGGGCAGAGAAACTTCGAAGGGAAGGAAGATATTTCCTCCTAGCTCTCAAAACAATTACAGAATTAAGAATGACAGCCCCTCCCCCATCTGTCTCTCTTTCTGGTCCTCGGCTGTGACCTGGTCTCTGTCACCAAGCTGAGGGATCACTATGGAAAAGTCCCAGCAGTATTACTTGCATGCCCACAGTCCAGAATAAGAGCTGCATAGCAAAACGAATGGGGGGGGGGCTGGTGGGAGGGAGGAAATTGCGCAACAATGAAAGAGTATTTTTTTAAGAGAAAAGCGAATTAGAGGTAAGGAGGAAAATGTGCAACAGTGAACGAATGGAAATCCAAGTTTTCTGTAAACTTTCATTAAAGCACGAATTTTTAAAAAACAGAGGGGGAGAACTGAGGCGCCCTGGAGAGGGGTTGGGCCGTGACCAGCAGGGCAGGGAGGAAGGCTGGTTAACTTGGTCTCTCCAGGCACTGGGTGCATAGGTGCAGTCTCTTTGAAAATTCACCCGGTTTGCTGTGAATGCCATGAAGTCAACAACAGCACATAGCAACACTAGGTGACAGAGTAGAATTGCCCACAGGTTTCCTAGGTCGTGACTTTTATGGGAGCAGCTCGGCAGCGCTTTTCTCCCGCAAAAAAGTGGATACAAAACTCCCTTCTTTTAAGAAACAGGCAAGCAAATTTAACCATTGAACTATCAAGCCCTCTTTATTGAAGGGCTATCCTTCAATGCTTTGTTTTGGTTTTGCTTTGTTTTAAGCCCCATCATGGTTTTTTGTCGGTTTTTTTGAAAACTTTATTATTTTCTGTGTGTGTACTGTCAAATCAGATCTGACTGGTACAGGAGATTGCCCCTTCTTCTCCAGCAGAGCATCTGGTGGATTTGAACCGCGGACCTCTGGGATTGCAGTGCAGCTTCTTGCCACTAGGCCACCAGAGCAAGCCCCATCATGTTTTAAGGCAACTTCCCAATCTCACAGAGAGAAAAATTAATGCCAAAAAAAAAGTGGAAACACCTTCCCCCAAATTACACAATGACCTAATCTCAGACTGGACCTGAAAACCCCAAACCCCAAGCCACCCAGTCTATGCTGATACACAGTGAGCCTGTAGAACGAGATGGAGCTGCACCATGGGGCTTCTGTAGCTGTAAATCTTAAGGAAGCACACTGGGTGTTTTGACCACTGTGCCACCAGGCCTCCTTAAGCTGGTCCTGATCTAAATAAAAAGACTGTTTAGCAAAAGTGAGGTACCCAGCTATGAAAACAAAATTTGAGTCTGCTCCAACTCAGAGCGAGTCCACATATAATCAAGGAAAACCCCTGTATGGCCTTTCACCATCCTCACAATTCCTCTGCCCATGGTTACGGTCACTGTCTCTGCCCATCTTGTTGAGGGTCTTCCTCTTCCTCTGACCCTATCATTTTCCAAAAATGGTGCCCTCTTCTCTCAGGGACCGCTCTCTCCCAACAACACGCCCAAAGTATGTGAGACAGAGTCCCACCATCCTTGCTTCTCAGGAACACTTAGCCCGCGTAACACCGTAGGGAGTGGCATGGCTTATCCAAAGGCCGTGCCACTCTGTAAGAACCCACCAGGGGCTCCTCCGGAGAAAGACAGACAGTGTCCTTCTCTGTAATGTTCAGCCTCCGAAATCCAATGGAGGGCCAGCTGTGAGGTCACATTCAGTGGCAACAAAACAAAACTCAGTAACTGAGATAAACATGTTAACACAATGCTTTTAGAAAATGAAAACCAATGCACAAGCATCCATGACAAACACAGTATCACAGTTTGCAGTTAAACTGGGATCTGACCCAGTGTTTTCACATTACTGACTCACGGTAATCCTGGCCGTGCTATTTCAGGTCAAGAATTAGGGAAGCCTCAACTTTAAACCAAAAGCATCCTCTGAAGTTTCCTTAGATGAACTTGTAAAGAATGTCTGCTTTTAGCATTGGGAGAACTGTCACCGGGTGCAAAGGCTCAGTATGTTACTCCCACCAAGAGCCTCCTCCCAAATCAGATCATACAGAACCCTTGTTGTTGTTAAGTGCAGTCGAGTTATAGGTGACTCATAGAGACCCTATGAACGAAAGACCTGGACACCTGCATAACTTCTGTCCTTTCTCCAGGTTCATAGGGTTTCCAGAGGCAAGCTATTTCGGAAGTGGATGCCACTCTTGCTTCCAAGCTTGTTTTAATAGGGGAGCTCCACCAAACACTGTCCACCGTGGGTAACCATTCTCGCATTTGACACGTCAGTGTCACAGTGTTCAGCTTCACAGCAACCACAAGTTACCTCCGTACAGCAAGTGCACAGACCAGGGTTACACAACCTAGAAGAATGTTTCACCAAAACGGAACCCTTAGCAGTGTTTATTACCACTTTTCATTATAGAACAATATGCAATAAATGCAGCTACCTCTTGCTTAAACGTCATAGCCCTTCAAATATATGAATACTGGCAACAATATAGTTTATAAAGCCTTTCCAGACTAGATCATATTATTAACAAGAGGAAGCCTTTTTCCTTTCCCCCTCCCTTTAATTATTATTTCACACCAAGAAAAATTATAAATAAAGGTTCACAAATATGAACGAACTCAATGTCATAGCCAGAACACCAGAAAATTTGGCAAAGTTACTGTTAGTCTGGGCAAAGAGGGCCAAAGAGAAGAATGAAGAGTTCAGAACTCAAATGTTGATGGCCTTGCTTGTTGCTGATAAGAAGAGAAAAGGGCCTTGCCTGTCTGGCTAAGCTAGCAGGTGGCTCGTAAATCAGAGTGGAATGTCCCTCCCTAAAGACTCTGTTTATAAAAATCCTCCCCAGTAAGTTCACAGTGTGACTTCCCATTCTGCCTCTCCAGGATGAGGAACTCACCCGGGAGCTCCCCTTTCCCCCCTTTAATAAAGCTGCATTAAGCTTTCTCTCATTCTCTCTGATTTCTTCTTTAAGTCCACTAACCTAACCTAACAGTTACCAAGTGTAAAAACACTGGCAGTAATAACAACGTCTGTGATACAACACAGGGGGCTCTGGTGGCCTAACAGGTAGGGAGTTAGGCTGCCAACTCACCCAAAGGGGAGGTTCTCGTCCACTGGCTGCTCCTTGAGAGAAGGATGGCCAATATCCTTCCATATGATTTACAGCCTCTGTAAACCTGCTTGGACAGTCAACCCTGAGTCAGTTCTGATTCCAGGGCAATGTGTTGAGAGTAAAACAAAATGGGTAATTTGTTGCAGGAAGCTCAAGTTGTGGTGCTGACCCAAAGGGGACTGTCTGGCCATTCAAATCCACCAGTGGTATCACTGAAGAAAGATGGGCAATATACTCTGTGATTTACAGCTTCTGAAAACCCACTAGAGGGTCAGCCAGGAGTTGGCTGTGAATTCCAAGATTCCAAGGTGTTGTTGTTGTGTACCATCGAGTCAGAACCAACTCATAGCTGACTTCCCAGCAGGTTTTCAGAGGCAGGAAATCATATGGGAGAAGATTACTCATCCTTCTCCCTCAGAGCAGCTATTGGATTCGAACCGTGTACCTTTGGGATTGAAGTTCAGCCTCCTAACCACTAGGCCGTAAGAGCTCTAAGACAATGAATGAGACAACTTGTTGCATGGAAAACTAACGGGACTTGTCAATTTTATCCCCAGCTACAATTTGGAAGAAAAAGAAAACCTTAGCCCAAAATAAACACCAAAACCAACAGTGCAAGCTAGTAGCATGTGACTCCAAGTCACATCTTTGCTGGAGAATAATGACAAGAGCATTGAGGAGTTGACATTCACAATGTAAATTAGCACTGTGGGTTAGCCTTGGATGTGTGTTGATACAGGGAAAGTGGGCTTAAAAAAATGTTTTGTTGTTAAAAACACAGGGATATTTTTATAAGGAACAGTATGTCTTTCTTTGCTGTGAATCACAATTCTTTGCTGTTTAAGCTAATAACAATTTCAGAGGTTATGATGCAGACGGTGATCATGTTCAGAAAGATCCAGAATCTCCTCATGATTTCAGGCCATTGCATTATCCCTGTAATTACCACCATCTGACAGAGTAAGGTTCAACTGAAACTCTGCACACACAAAATAATTTCTTCTTTCTATCCCAGAAAGCTTTTCTCAAACTCTCAGCTCAGGTATCTCAAATTTCAAAACTGGGTGAGGGAAAGTTCTTCAGATAAT